TCACCTGGTCAAATTCCCATTTTTCACACATTTTTTAATTACCTATAATTAAATGTGTGCAAAACGGGAACAAACCGCTTAGATCCCCCCCCCCCATTTCCGACGTGATTATAATTGAGTAAACAATTCACATTATAGAAAGTCCTCTGCAAGGCTTTAATCCCTAAACAAAGGACTATATTGGTTTTGAACAATAAAATGTAAACATGGACACTTACTTAATTTTTCACGTGAACAATAGGTGACCTGAAAACCAATTTCAAAAAGATGAAAGGTGCCAAATATTTCCATAGTCAATTGTGAAATTCAATTCTAAAAATCCAACTAAAAAGAGAATTAGTTAATGTACATATTTCAGCTCTATCAAAAGCAGAAATTTTATTTATTAAAATTCACTTTAAAAAACACTTGATGTTAAAATTACAATCTTTTTTCTTTTGATTAATCAAAGTAATATAATTCAGTAAATCTTAATTCTAAATAATATTGGAAAACAAAGTTTTCCTCATGACATACCATGCCAAGAAATCTCGTCCGATTTCGACAGCGATGGAGTCAATAAAAGTGTAATTAATGCAAATCACCCATATTCCCAAAACGCCAGCAAGACAATTTACGGCAGCAGACTTCTGGGGGTGGATCCTAGGTTTTAAGCTTTCTTATTTAAAGAAAAAATAAACTTCTACTCCAGGAAGTAGTACAAATACCCTAAAAAGTTACTGTCAGATATCTTTATTTACAAAATACGTTTATTTTAAAACAAATATTGGACTGAAAAAAATAAGAAAAAAACAATCAAAAGAAAATATTCACTTTAAAATGAAAATATACACATAGGCAATCGGGTAACGTCTACCCATTCAGTACTCGTCTCCATCTTGTTCAACCAGGAAATGATGTAAAATTCCGGAAATTTGGTACTCTTTTATCTATATTTCGACGCGGTACTTCCACAACTACCCGGTGTCAATTTATTTGTACTGAGAAAAAATATTTTGAAATTGAATTACGTAAAAAAATTGAAAGGAGCTTATTTTATTAAAGAATTACTTTACTATAATTATTTTCATCCCCCCCCATCCGAAAAAAGACAATGGGGGGGGGGCAAAGGCTTCTAAATAACTAATATTCTACCTATAATTCTAACCCAGTAAATTTTAAGATCCCTCCCTCAAAACTGCAGACATTAATTGCTTCCGCACGGCTCCCAGGGGAAGAATCACAGATTAATGTTAATTCGGCTTTTATTGAGTTTGCTATACGGAGAGAATGCTAAGGTTTTCTTGGCATGAAATATATAGTGACTTCGAATAGATGAACCTAACCTTCTATAATTTTTTTTTTATTTTATAAAGTATTAATGGTACATGTACCTCTTACGTAACTTCATAAACATTCTGCTAATAAATCAATTGACTTGTTTATACCTGTATTGTTTTCATATTATACAAAGAAAATTGTTTTCACACTGATCATACGGTTTTGACGCACGGAATTCCGGAATTAATCATTTTCTCGAGAACGGCCCTTCAATTCTTATGCCTTTGTCACTCAATCGGAGTTCCTCGGATGACTTGTACCTCGCACATAACCTCGGACGTCAAAGGTGATCTTCCATCTTGCTGATTTAGTCATGTGATCTTATTTGAATTTCATTCAAATATTATACTTTTGAAATCCGAGTTTCTTTGATGCACGCCCAACACTGTGTTCTTGCTTTCAAAGAATACTAACATTTGGTTGTAATTAACACGAGGAATTACACTAATAAAGAAACCTTTTCTAAGACCTTTAGGCAGATCGAAATATGAAATGAGTGACAAGGTAGTTTCCGGCGAAGAAATGTAGCGATCTGTTACGTATTCCTCCACTTATCACATCCGAGGTTTGAATGGAGCGTAGCGGAGTCAGCCGAGGATTGCCGATTGTTTGTCACTTCTTGTGCTTATGCAACCGGGATTTTTGAGTCTCCAGAGCGTTCTTCTAAACATTCAAGGCCCAGTTCAAAGTTTTACAGGTAATTATAATGTAGGATTTTTATGTTGAAAGGGTGTTATTTATATATATTGTTGAGGAAACATCCCATAAATAAAATATTCAATAAAGAAGCAATTTATATTTTAACTTTTGCACTTTGTGTGGCTTCTTACACAGCTATCGTTACATAATGGGCTTGCTTGATTGGTAGCTTGAATTTTCAATAAATCATTTAATAAGAAGAAATTCTTTATTTGTTGAGCTACAGCCATATTGTGAATTAATTCCAATTCGAGTTTTACATGATTGATAGAATTTTTGGAACTCTCAGAATCGAAATCTGACTTTACAATCAAGCACACCCAATATCATTACACAGGTTGGGCACAGTTCCTTTTTCGGGGAAGTATTACTGTAAAAGGGAACTATTACTCTTTTCAGTAATAAAAACATTACTGAATTCGGGAATTTTCACTCCTGTAGCCTTTATTCTTGTGTTTGTTTTGAATAAAAGATAAAGTGC